GGGAAGTTTTGTCCAATGCTCCACACTTGCCTGAAGGCTCCTTCTCAATCCTCCCTTGCTCAAGGGATGGGGCAGACCTTTTCACTGTGGATGAGCGCTTCAAGGTCCTTTCATTCACTGGATCTCCATCGGTTGGTTGGCCGATGAAGGCAAGGGCCGGCAAGAAGCGGGTCGTCCTGGAACTGGGAGGCAATGCTGCATGCATTGTTGAGGATGTTCGAAAGCCAGAAGACATCGATGAAATTGTGGGAAAGATCGTCCATGGGGCATTCTACCAGAGTGGACAGTCCTGCATAAGTGTGCAGAGGTTGCTGGTGCGACAGGACCTGTATGAGGGCCTCAAGGACAAGTTGGTGGCCAAGGTGTCCAGTTTGAAGAAGGGTGATCCACACGATGAGGACACGTTCATTGGACCGTTGATTGCAGAGTCTGAAGCCAGTCGCATCCAGCAGTGGGTGGATGAAGCTGTGTCAGGGGGGGCCACGATATTGTGTGGCGGCCAACGGGATGGGGCCCTGTACGATGCAACCATCCTTGAAAACACCCCAAAGAACGGTTCAGCATATTGTGAGGAAGCATTTGGGCCGCTGCTGTGCATCGAGTGCTACACCCACTTCAAAGACGCCATCGCTCGAGTGAATGATTCTGTCTTCGGATTGCAGGCAGGAGTGTTCACGCATGACATGGACAAGGCGTTCTATGCATTTGAACAGCTTGAGGTGGGTGGTGTGGTCATTGGCCACGTCCCCAGCATTCGTGTGGACTCACAGTCTTATGGTGGTGTGAAAGACAGCGGTTTTGGTCGGGAAGGCATCCGATATGCCATGAAGGACTACATGGAGGAACGTGTCATGATGATGGTCAATGTGGGAAAGGAAATGTGAACAGAGAAGCCGTACGCTCCGGAATAGAGCTCAGAGTGGGAAGATGTAGCATCCTGATAGAGGGATGGCGGTGTGATGATAGTGATTGTGTGAGGGTTGGGGGCCATAGTCTATGTATCTGTGGGTCTACACTGATGCGGGTCCTGCACCACACCATCTGTGCAGTTTGAAAACTGAAGTTCTTGAGCGTCCTGTGCAGTTTTGTGGATGGAAGGGGTGATCTGGGCAAGTGAGTAGATTTGATGTGTGTTTCTGGAATTCAATAGCGTCGCTCTCAACAGATCTTGGGTTGCTGGTGTGTCCTTACTCTGCCCATTCTGCCTTGGCTGGCAGCGGGCAGCCATTGGCCTATAGGAATGGCCACAATGGACAACTTATTCTGGCAGATGAACTCTATCTGCCTTAAGTCAACTGTTGCTTTTGACCTTGTGCAAGCAGCAACTTAGATAATGAGAATGCAAACCCCTCAGCAAACTGCTTTTGCTGGTTTGATGTCAAGGAACCTGGCAAACATTAACGTGAATGGCATACTGAGGTATTTGTGTCAGTGCTTTCACTGCACTACCAACTCCTATCTCCACAGTATCACAATTGATATTGCAGCCTGCGTCTATATGAAGCAACCCTCATGTCCCACCATCAAAAGCAGCTCTCTGTGCACGTCCTTTCCCACAATGCTGGGATACGGTAGACAATACCGCCTCGTCCATGTGCCGTTGTGCAGAAACACTTTCAGACACCATAGATGCTTCTGTGACTGTCTTCAATGGACAAAACATGCCTCATGCCAGATGCGTGTGACAGCAGGCGTTTCCAGCAGTTATCAAGTGTGCTGTCAATCGTCATTTCGATGGAATTTCATTCCACAGGCATTGTCCCTTGCCATGTCACAGCAAGATCAAGAAGCGATATCGTAGTGATTGCTCTGCCAGCCATATTCATTTAGAGGTTCTGGTCCTTGCCCCTCATCATGCTTGTGGCTACATCAACAGAGTACGGTACATGGCAGCAACGGCACAGCAAAATGGGGGTGGTTTTACAAGAGAAGAGTGCAACACTGGGCTGAGATGCATTGTGTTGAGCAGGCATTCAACAGGTGTGTAGTTTGTGAACACCACTACACAATCACGCGTTTGGCTCAGCTCAACATTCCTTGGGATAATCACACATGCATCGACGATCATGTGGTCTTTCTAGACTGGGAACATACTCTGCTGAGCGAGAGATCAATGCCCAACGAACAAACAACAATATCCTCTGTCCCACTTGCACTCTGGACCAGAACTTCTGGGTCGGAGCGGCACCTCAGTCAGTCCAACAGTTTCTGGCTCACCGCTCAGCGCCACGCATGAGAACTGCTGCTCCGCTGGAGGGCTTGGTTGCAAATATACAGCCTTGCAGCTGGCCGGTGGTAATCTGCAATGCACAAACAAAATGCGATCCTTTAAATGCCATGTGCCGCGTTGTAGGTCGTGGTGGGACCAATGACAGCACCTGCACAGCACAGCACTTTCCTTGACAGACCGATACTCTGAAGTGCAGACCAAACTTCATGCAGTTGCAGCAGCTATCATACACTTCAAGTCCATGTCCTTTCAATACATCAAGTTGCAATGCTTTCACCCCAATGTGCACCCGAGACAACATGAAACATGGCAGTGAATGGGGCCCCAATCGATCAATAAACGCCCACATATTCAACCTGCAAGCAAAAGGAGAAGTTCGATGCTGCTTGAGAATGACCAGTGCGATAATCCTGCACTCTGCAGGCTCCTATGCGCGTGCACCCTATACACAAGAAGCACAGCAGAGACGCAAACAGCCAAACTACCCCAACATCGAGGAGGCAACTCACCACTCCTTGCTCAAGTTTAGAGCTGTAAAACAGGTGTGTAACTTCGCTGATGAATGCGTCCACCTTGCTTTCAAGCACCAATGACACAGTGCATCCACCCCACCCAGCTCCAGTCAGCCGCGAGCCAAGGGCACCAGCCTTGAGGGCTGCAGAAACCTGCACAAGAAACCAGATTCGTTGGTGGTGCAACAGCTCAGAAGTTGCCAAAATATGACAGGCTATCCAGAACACAGTTGTATTGCAGAACAAACTTCAGTTCTCAAGCCTACATTCACATTACACCCTGCAACACTTGTCCCATGGGGAATTGTGGCCCGGCACAAGGAACCATCCACATTGCAGTGCATACAGCAACGCCAATCTTAGACATTGATATGATAATCAACAAAAGGAGTCACAGCAACACTACAAGGAATATTATTCTCTGGTTGTGGCAACAGTTGAGGTGGACGATTCAAGGCGCCAAGATACTAGTCCTTCCCAAAGCCATTTCTCTGTTCATCTTCTCTGTTTGTTATAGACAACCTGACAAACACGAGCCAGGGGCCAGCAGCTCCAAAAAATAACATTAACAGTGGCTGTCTATGCGCTTGCTACAATTGACAGCCGAAGAAGCAACAAATCACTTCAGGTTAATAGCATGGAATGTTGGGAAATATTGCAGAAATCCCGAAATCCCATGTTCGATTCTGATGTTCCATTTCTCCATGTTCGATTCAGCACTGCTCATACTCTGATCTGAATTTCCTGGAAAAAGACAGGCGATTGTTCATGCACTGACGCTGTTACACAACTTTGTGCACAATTTCGACACTGATATTTTCATCATGATCGAAAATCAACAGCATCAGTAACAATGGAGCTGAGTCAATTGTCAAAAGCATGATAAAGACCACCGTTGTCCACCAGTGAAAAGCCCACTGCCAAGCACAGGCATAACCTCACCAGATCCTCCAGTTCTGGACAGCTGCATTCATACAGATCCCTGCAGCTTTCATGACTTGCATTCATCAGGGAGCCCAGCGCCTTCAGCTTTGAGGATGTATCCTCATTGGACTGCAAGTGGGGATCCACAAATTGTTTATGCTCGAGTCTCAGTGCCCAAGCAGATGCTCACATGTGAGCAGGTACGAAGGGTGAGCATCGTAGCATAGCCCATCGCAACAACCAATCTCTTTGCAGAGAGTTTTATTATGTAAATCTTTAAATGTCCACTGATCTCAACCCTATTGGTCACACCAACGTGTCAGACATTGCATGATGCCAGCAATGATGACAAAGATCAGAGTGACTATCTTCAGCGCTGTCCAGCACAGGTCCCCCACAACTGTACCCGCAGCCACATCACCCATCCTTCAATTGTTCAACCACACTGTTTGGATAACACGTGTGTTTCCACTTTCATCAAACAGTTATAAATCCATCAAAGCCGCATACCCCCCCTTAGGGAACCTCAGTTGCTTCCCTGCAGTCGTTGGGCTGGGAAGATGCTCTGGTGACTTCCAAACATAGTGGGCGGCATGCTGCTGAACTCATGCATGGTTTTGCAAGCAGGCACAATCTACGCCAACTTATTCCATGTGCATAGACAATGTCATTGCAGAAACTTTTCCGACGTTCAGCCTGTAAGGCAACATCTTTTAAGGCCAATCGAGCATATTTAACGCTTCCAGGGATTCGGGAAAAGAAGGGACTGGTTTCATCTCACAATACGCTTGAGATCATGCACTCGTTTTGCTTCAGAATACACATGAAGGGATTCGGGAGACAAAGGGACTGGTGTCACCTCACAAACGCGCTTGAAATCATGCACTCGTTTTGCTTCAGAATACACATGAAGAGCCCTGTCTTTCAGTTTGAATCCCTTTCCAGCAGCTTGTTTGGCTTCCAAAACCTTCAGGGAGCTGGTTGAGCTGCTGAACAGCTCTGGCAATGTGACACCCACAAGCTCGCCAACCTGCATACGCCCAACATCCCAACGTTATTTCACAAAGAGGGTAGTTGTGCGGCCACAGCAAGCCTTCAGAATAGATTTGTTTTACTGCATTCTATCCTGTTGCTCACTTGTGCTATCATTGCAGCATTCCTTTGCAACTGGCTTCCACTCGTGGAGATCGTTTGACGAGCCATTTGTACAGTTGCCCTACAACCGGTTTCAGGCTATCAAACACAGAGCAACATTTCAACCAAGCAGCTACAGGATCTGAAGGCCGTCAAGAATGTCGCTCACAGCGTTCCCACCTCTGAAATGCTGTATTCACCACCATGTAGATGTTCGTTCACTGCTTCGATGCATGTTGTGAATGAATCGATGCTCGTTGATGCAGTTATGTGCCTTTGCAACTGCCCCAACGTTTCAATTTTCACTGCCTCACAGACTGAAAGGCCCAGTTTCAGAGCAACAACTGCAGATGCAAGTCTGCACTCCACCACCCTTAGATTGTACCTGTGCATACGATACGACTCAAAGGTCAAGTACATTAATCCCAAAGCCAAGTACATTCATCCCAAAGCCAAAGTGGACCACAACATGTGCACTTTTCCCAGATGTGAACGTTGGAAGATAAATGCTTACCAACCCATACACCTTGATCATTTTTATTGCCACTGTGCCTCTTGTGGCAGTACGCAGAGAGTCAATACCAAGATGACAGGATAAACTGCTCCACAGCACCATGAGTTTCATTTCACAGCTCCAAGCAATACAATGTACACTTGTCAGAATTCAACAATCACACTTACCATGGCAAGCAATAACTGCAGTTGGCATAGGCTGCACTTCGTTGCAGCTTACCATCAAGAACAGGTTTGAAGAAAATGACTGTGCAAAACCTCTGGTGATCACAACTGCATCATACACTCCAATTCACCTTCCTGTTGCTGTTTCTGCCTTGTTTGACACTGCCAACGAGTTTGCCACAACAAACGATGCTCCTGGGGGCAGGGCCACATCTGTTGCTCTGACCTGACAGCCACAACGGCACACCATCCAGCCCTGTGAGCTGAATCCAACAGGGGCCAAGCATTTGTGCCGATGTGCTCTTGGACAAGGGCAAGGGCTGCATTGACAGTGTGGCAACCGCATCGCAGTTCACAGGCTCACTTTCAGTAGAAACAACACATGCTCTGTGACTGCCACTCGCTCAAAATGTTTGTGCAAACGTCACCACATTATCAACATAACAAGATCCTGGCCCAAATTCTCTCATTTCAAGTTGGAGTGGCAATTCAATGAACTGCCATGTGCCCATGCTATTTCAATCAAGATGATTTGCCCCACAACGCCCTTGGCAGTTTTCATATCCCTGCCACTCACAGGTGGCAGGTCAGTCGTGCACAATCCAGCACTATACGCAGTCCAGCAGGAGCATGCCACTCACAGGATTAAATTCAACCAGTTTGGCAACACCAGGTCTTGCCATGATGGAAATTGCCTGGTCCATGCCTCCTGATTCTGTGCCCACATAGCGCTCACAGCGACAAGTGAACTCTGCAATGTCCGCCTGCTTCAGTTGCAGGCCGCAGGTGCCATGCACAGCCAGCACACCCAGTGCAGAAGCGCACACCAATGCAGATGAACTGGACAGTCCAGAGCCTGCGAACCAGCTGTGTCCAAAGCGTGTCAGCCATATTCCACATGAAACCCACCTTACACTGTCTCACAAGAAGTCATCTGTATTTGCTGGTGCTGAGCATTGCTGTTGCCTTTCCAAGTGTGTAGTACGTGCTACAGACAAGTGAAGGCAAGCCAGGTCTTGTCTTATGGTGTATTATACCACTATCTTGTTCAGCAGTGGATTGGGGGTCTGTCTACGTTATTGACCTTCCTGCTGAGTTGTCGGGATCCTGGGAAGATATTCAGAAGTCTTGTGTTCAAAGTCACCATGTTCAGATCTCGTTTGATTGACGCACAGCTGAAAACAACCAAATGGCAGTTGCCGCATTGGAGGGCTGTTTTCTACTGCAGTTATTCACCTGCAGGTTTGAATGATCAAGCTGGTTCTTTCTGTAAACTGGACTCTCCCAATTTCCTCTACACTCTAGCCAGCCCACTTCACTGTAATGTCTGCATATGTTTCTGGAAAGAGATCAGATTAGAAATTCAAAACCGCGATGCACCATCCAAGGTACCAGGTTGGGTTGTACAAGATTCTGTCCCCTCACAACAACCAAAGAAAAGTCATAGTAAGAGATGGCTGGGCCTTCTGTACTATTCTAGTACAATAGGCACATTCCGGCAGCATTCAGTTGCAAGAGTTATCCAGCTTGCACCGTAGCTCAACAGTAAAGCTTTCTGTGAAACTGTGAGATTGCTGTCTCTGGATCAGAAACACCAGGCTTGTTTCAGGACAGTGCACCTGTTGGCACCCGACCATCAATCATGACTTGTAGGCCTGAAGGAGCTGGGGCTTCCATCCCTTTGTCAGAGATGTAGTCATACACCCCCTGAACGGAAAGCGCAACAATTCTGGAGTCACCAGCAAGCACACACTGCCTCTGGAGTCCAACATGGATAGCCTCACCAATGTGCACTTGAATCGCTCATGCAACAAGCAGTTTTCATCACTGCCGTGAGAAGACAAACATGTAGTGCCACAAAACAAAACAGCAGCTTGATATAGTTGCCTTCAAAGCGTATGGAGCACTGGACAAAGGCAGCACTGCCATTTGTCTTTCTATGGGGAGTCAACAGCCCACAAACAATGAACAAGAAACACAGAAAAATCCCACCTTGTAGGCTGCAACAAAGTAGTTTGCCCAAGTGTGCTGCTTCACATCCACAGCCTGCAAGAGCACGCAACAATTCTCGTCAGCTAAATACAGAATGGAGGGCACAGAACGGCGATGTCTAATTATAGGACGATGTCAACCTGTGCATAGACTGTGAAAGGCAGTCAATCCATCCATCACATCTTCAAGAGCAGTCAATATCTGAATTCCTGGTAATACCAGGAAAAGGTGCAAAAATTCGCCTGAACCATCGCAAGGAGCTAACCGCAATTTAGACTGCCATTTGTTTCTTCACAACCGCCGCAGTTGTCTGTAGAGCAACAGTCATGCCTGATGTCTGCAAAAGTACTGTCTCATCTTTGAAGAATTCTGTTTTGGGTGGGTTTGTGGAAACCTCCTGAGTGCCAAGGGGCACATTGTATGTATGCAATGCAGCCACTGCCTGCTGATATGCCCGAAGTTGTCAGGTACACAAACCAGTGACGCCCAGTACAATCAGAGTTTTGTAGTACGGTGGTATGTCAAGTTGCTTGCAACAGTCCCAGTTGTGTCTTTCTGTGCAGTAACATTCCTGCTCAGCTGATTTGGCTGACCTTGCGCATCTAACCAGTAATATTGGCCAATCAACCACAGTACTGCAGTCAAACCAACCCACTGGTCCTTTTCCATTTCAGCAGTATCAGGGCTAAACAATCTTTCACCATATGCATTTCAACTCAGGTAGCATTGGCAGGACTGGGTGCGTGCTATGCGCACATGGTGAGTGTGCCTCTTCAAGACATTCGCTTCCAGGCTTGAGTTGAGAATCCTCACTGTCCTTCACTGCACCTGCTTGGGGTCCACAGGGAAGTCCTTTGCAGGATATTGTTCCTGCTGAGTGTTGTGAATTTGCAGCGTATCACCACCAACTCGAAGGGCAACGACAGTGTCCTTTACAAAGTACAATTGTCACACCCACAAGCACATCAGTACAACATGTCAGATACAAGGGCATGCTGCAGAAGCAGCACATTAGATCAGAGAATGGCAAACAACAGGCGTATATTCGAGGGAGCATTCAGCAGACCAGAAAGCATGGCATTGTGCACGTCAGCTCAATGGCTGCCATACAAGGACTGTGCAATCACAGATGATGGGTGCGTGTTCGCCAGGCGATGAGGCATTTAAGGTCACCTGATGAATGGCCATTGGAAAGACCGCATATCCCTCATAGTCGATGTGCTCACCGATCAAATTCACACGACCTGAAAAGAGAGTTAAGCAAGGTACTGATTCAGGCCAGCGGCCATAGTCCCAGGTCCACAAGGCTTTCCAAGGCTGGCAGCTGTCAAAGCTTCTTGAAAAATGCGCTGAGCACAGGCCAACAGCTACCTGGTGACCTTGCAAGCACATCAGGGCGGCAGCCAAAAGCCTCCTCGAATTTCCTCCCCAGCTCTGCATATCTGCTCTTTTCGACGTCCCAGCCTGTGGCAAAAGTAAATCTTGGAGCATCCAATACCCCACAAACTGGTTGCGAGCGAGTTAAAATCCGCCGATTCTTCTGCGCAGCGATCCCATCTAAGCATCGATTTCAACAAACATGCCACACTGTGCACAAGGCCAGCCCCTTCATGTTGCGCAACTAGGTGCTGTGTGGAGCCATGACCATGGGACTCTGGCCAACTGGGGAATGGACGTTCTGTGCCTTCGTCGCTTGACGTCACAAAAGCACAGTTTGTCACTGCTATCAGAAAAGTGGCATCCATGGAATTTCACACATTGAAAGCGGGGCAGTCAAGTTCCTCCCACCAAAAGGTGCTTTGACAGCGCAGCTCAGCCCATGATCGCCGCAGTATGTCCCCCGTGTACAGAGCATCCACGAACGCCCGCGCTGGGCGACGGTAATGCCACGTCATCAGCTGACAGCGTTGACCATCCAATCTGCGGACGCCATCGCAAGCTGGCAAAGCAGCGAAGAACTGCCTCCTGATCACACCTTGCAGCACTGAACCAAAAAAGGCATCCCTCCACAGTCAAGGCAAACGCTTCGAGGCTCACCCTGCTGGCCGTAGATGCTCACAGGATCGCTGACGACCGGCACGAGGCCGTCTGAGGCCGCCTGCGCCATACTTGGCAGCCCCTTGCTGTGCAATCTGCACCTCTGCCCGCGACGGACAAGCGGACCGGCGCCGCAAACCTCTGGACTTCTGCTGCTATCCCTGAAACGACTGTCGCAGCGACCACCGTGGCTCGCTCGCGCGAAGCAGCGGACAGCAAATGCGCTGGGGCCGCTGGAGTCTTGATCTGGCTCCCTTGACGACTGACAAGGCGGAAGTCGGCCCGAGGATGAAGACAAATGTCATTTTTAGGTCATTAGGGATATGCGTCGGCAAAAAAAGTCCGGCTGGCTGGCCCAAAGTCGCATGGAGTTCCTTGGATCTGCGCATCCCATCGCGCCACAGCCTCCCCTGTCCCCCCCCCCCCCCCCCCAGCCGTGTGCTCCGTCTTCCTCCCTTCAGTGCCAGCGTTCTCGAGGAAGCAGTGCCTCCCGCACTGCGTGGGGTTCATGGTGGAGCTTGTGTGCCGGAGCACGTTGCAATGGGGTGACTCCAGCCACGCGCTGGTCATCCTCCACCCCACCAAAACGTCCAACAGCGCCCGTATTTGCCAAGAACTCGGAGACAAAATATTCGTGACGGGCTACTGGTACATGCAGACCCCCCCTGCACCCCCATACTCTCTTGCGCGATTGAACGGAGCTCCAGAGCACGGCGATCGACTGGCGGCGGCGCCACTCCTCGCAGGGCCGATTTCGAACGGAATGGGGGGCCCTCGCAGGCCGAAAGCGCGCTTCCAACCTTCTCTCTGGACCGCCATCCGGGCGCAGGCCTCGGCGACCGGCGTTGGAGGCAGAGCGGTTCGGCGGGGCGGGGGCGGGCGGAGCGGAAGGGGGCCGTCGGAAGTAAAATGCGGGCTGGTCAGCGGGCTGCTTTTCTCGAGTGTAGATTGCATCGCCGCCGTTTGTAGGCCTGTGTTCTTGGCGCTAGGCCCCGCTGCCGCGTCGACCTGCTAGGGGGCGTTCCGCGTTTCGCGACACGACCCCACCGCGAGGCGCCGCGTTGGCGAGGCCGTTGCGGGCGCAAATCGTGGCCGGTGCGCGGGGGCTGGCTGTGGTTGTGGAGACCACCCGGGATGACTGTTCCACCCCCCAAAACCGTCCTTGACGTGAGGCCACTTCCGTAGGCCATGTGCCTGCAAGGGGAAACACGCGCCAGGGGACGGGGTGCGCACTGAAGGAAGACACTTCAGCGCGAGGTCCCAGTCCAGCTCGCCGCCTTAGCCCTTTGAGCCCACCTCCGTGCATTTAGCGGCCCTCTGCGCCCCCGGTGCGAAGTCGCGAACGCAATGTGCGCCTTTGCGGCAGGCTGGGGCGTCGTCTGCGATCCTGCGCAGGTGTTTTTGGCTGGCATCTGTTGGGCGTGATGGCGGGTTCGCGAACGACGTGGGCACAGGCAAGGAGGGAGATTGAGAGCGGGGACGCATTTGGTCGCAGATCATCGACCGTGGTACTCAGGGAGGCGCCGGTTGACAGTTTTGGTCGCGGTGACGTTGGAGCGCTAGGGGATTCGTTTGTCGTCGATCCCAATGCTGGCTGCCCTCCGTGGCGGTGTTGGGGGGGCGAAGGGACGGCTTTGGTGGTTTCTGTGTGTTCTGCCCGTTGGTGGCGTGGTGCTGGCGCCTGCAGACCCCAAGGCTGTGGGTCACCGCAGCCCATCTGTCACGAGCACGACTCCAGTTGCAGTCCCTCAGCAGAAACCGTGCCCTTTTTGAGTCCAGCTGTATTGCCTTGGTGGCGGGGTTTTCTTCTCGGCTGATCGCCCCGTCCAGCAGGCGGGAGTCCCGCCAGGACTGTTGGAAGCGGCGCAGACGCACTGCAGGAAGGGAGGGCGCCGTGCCAGGGAAAGTGGCGTGTGTTGGGCGGGAGTTGGGCGCATGTTGGGTGGGTGGGTGGCGGTCGCAGGACGACGGTGGAAGTTTGCCCAGTAGCGGGATCGTGCCGGCGGGACACACAGTGGCTGGAGAGACGACAACCGGGGCATGGGGCGCTTGCGTACTTTGCCGATGTTTTGGGCGGACTTGGCTGGGACGACTCCAAACTGACAAATCGCCAGGGCGCCGCTGGTTGATTGGACTGGCTGGCTGCTGACAGCCCAGAAATCGTTGCCCATCAAACGTCCATTGAAACCAAAGGCAAATCCAAGGAAAGAGTCACAAGACCGAATTTTGACGCTGGTGAAGAAATGCTTCCCCAAGTGGTTCTTGTTCCCTTCAAACAGGGAACAAGGAATGTGCTCAATAGCTGTTGTGCTTGTGCTTGCAGGCAACCAAAGATGGTGGCACCTCTAGTTGCGCTTAATGCCCTGACACAAGGTGTGTTTGACTAAACGACAACTTTCTGGCACATCAACTCAGCAGTCCATGGTTTCTGCCGTCAGTCACTATTGCTGGGTTGTTGCATCAAATTCCAGCTGGTTAGATCTGCAGGCTTGTGCCTGGCATTGAATACTAACACTGGGAACATCGCCCTTGGCAGGGACTGGTCCAACAGTACACGTTGCTCCAGACACATCGGACAATAAGCTAGGAGTGCTGCATGAGGACTGCATGAGGGATGGCCACTGTCTAGTGGTGGGGCTTGGTGACGATTCAGAAGTGGTATTGGCTCCGGTGCAGACACACAAAGGTGGGAAGCGCAGATGCCCCACTTTCGAGGAGGTTAGGGGTCCGCATGTGCTGCCAACATTTGCTTGTGCCTGGTTGCCAATACGCTTTCCACCAGCAACTGTGACTGCGATGAAATGGAATGGGGAGCTTGCAGATAAGATTTGGGACGTGATATGTCAGTCGAACAGCTCTTTTGATCGTTGGTAAGGTCAAGCGGCCATGTATGATGGCTTTGCATTGCTGTTTCAGTCTGACACAAGGTCTCTTGGTTTACAGGTGATGGTGCACATGCCCTTTTTTGGGGTTACTGTATCCTCAGGGGGGTCGTTTCTTGTGGATCGCTGCTGTTTGAGAATGGAGGCCAGCTTCCAGCGGTGTTTGATCTTGATGAAACCCTTGTTTTGGCGAATTCTGGCCACAACTTGGGTCAGCGACTTGAGGCTGCATCCAGACAGATGTGAGTTTGCTTGCCATTATTGTCCCAGTTGAAAGCCTATTCACTGACCTATTTGCTCAGTCTGCAATGTTCTCCGTCTGGAAGATTATGAGTCATTGCATCGTCATGTGCAGTGCCGATGCAGGCAGCAATGCATTATCTGAATTAAATATTGCGGTGTGGTTTGGCAGGCAAGACCTACACGATCAGTTGGAGTGCTGCACAGTGAAAGAAGAAAGGTGCATTGAACACTTCGCTTTTGGGCTAGCTGTATAGACTGGTAGATTGCGACACTTGCAGCTTATTGCCGATCATCACCAAGCGCACAGCATGTTTCATGCCTAGTTTCTGGAGCAGCAGCTCGTCACAAGCAGAGTACATCGTATCACTTCCATTTGCTTCCCAACTGCGAATGCAGTCAGACAGTTACTGCATTATGTTTTTCGCTGTGTTCCAATTGTTATGGCCTTGAATTTGATGTGGAGTCCATTCCTCTGGGCACTAGCACTCTATTCTGCGTTCAAACCTCTCCCATGACATTTGATGGCATGTGTCTCTGATAGGTGTAGTGACTGGCTGCTGTATACCCTGCAATACAGGCATGTCACAAAAGTGTGCACTGCAACATCTACGTGCACTTCACAACCGAGTTGCAGGTGGATCGTCCCTTGCGCTGTTGGGCTTTGCTGTGTGAGTAAGTGTTGGTGTGCTGTGTTTGATCGTTGTTGCGCGTAGGGAAAAGCTGCAAGCACAGATTGCGGCTGTGGAGCATGAGCAAGTCCTCCTGCGGGAAGACCACCAGATGGTCCAAAGCTATGCAGAGAGCAACAAAGTAGAGGTGAATGGCCAGGTCTACCACGCAAGGTAATTGTTCCACTGTACATTTGGGAGGTATTGTGCTGGTGGTTGGTTCAGCATGTCATATGTTGTGCCCATTCCTGTCTATTTCTGAATTGTGCGATACACAGCCTCTGTTTTGGTGTGTGTGGTCAATGATGTTGATGCAGCAGCAACTGCCAGGGCCAAGAATGTGTTGCTGGCCTCACAAAGCCACAATGGCAGTGGTTCGCTGCCTAACTGAATGATATACCTGTTTCATTGCCACAAGGGAAGAGACTGTGGAGTCTGGAAATGGTGTTACATCCAGGCCCATCATTCGAATTCCAGAAGCTGGTCTGGTTCTGACACGCATCGATTCCTCAAAACCTGAGACATCCATGGTGATCCGTATCCGACCTGGGTGGGAGAACCTGCGAGCCTACCTGTCAGGCCAGATGGAAAACAAACGACAAAAGTAAGCTGCCCTGGTGTGTCGATTCCCAAAGGATTTTTGGAAATTCCAATTGCACGCGCAAAAGTCCACATGGAGGCTCTCAGACTGGATGGTGCTGTGGATCAGTCTGGTTTGCATTGTTTTTCAATGCTCTGCATGTTGGATTTCTTACTATGCAGTAATTGAGGAGCCATGTACAATTTGAACTGGATCCAGTTGTATGTCAATTCATCCTTGATGTGACATGGTCATCTGTTTGTCCATTTTGTGCAAGACTTGTCTGCCACTTTTCTTGTGCCTCAGCCAGCTTGCATTGATGATTTCGCCTTGTGTTTAACTGCTTTTGTTTGCAGCTGTCTGTGGTTGCTGACTTGCATTTTTCTGTGCTTGCAAGGTGGAAAGTGTTTGTCTGCACCGCTGCAGAGAGGGAGTATGCACATGAGGCATGGCGTCTGTTGGACACTGCTGGAGACCTCATACCGGCTGCTGAGAGACCCTCTCGCATTTTCTCTGGTGCAAGAAAGAAGTCGCTCATGCACACCCTGAAGTTGGGCCCCTTCTCCCCTGAGCCCCTGCCTGCTCATTGTGTCTCTGGAATGAATATTGCGCCCCTGGTTGAGGGAGTGTCAGAGATGCCATTGGCACTCATCATTGACGATCGGCTGGATGTTTGGGATCGCCGAAACAGGAGCCAAATTGTCCAGGTAAGAAGGAAATTGCATCAACAGTGGGTGATGGCTTTGTGCTCGTGCATTGCAGCACCTTCTTCTTTCCGTACAGCTTTGTTTCTTTGGCCAAATTCCAGTTGAAGCGAGTTACCTCAGCAAGAAGTGCACCAGCCCATCATGTGTGTGCGCTCTTCTTCAGGTGACACCTTACCTGCATTACAAGAGCCACAAGTCTTCAGAGAAGATTCCGAAATATGATGCAAACGAACTGCTGAGGGTGAAGTATATTTTCCAGAGTCTGAGGGCAGATTTGTACTTCTCACTGTGCGAGGTATGTGTCCACCCATGCCACTTGTGTGGATGCTCTTCTGTCTGGTGTTTGCAACATTGTAGCTGCAAGCCAACAGTGTGTCATTCTCTTGTGAGCCCACCCCACATGGGACAGTGCAGTCAAACAACCAGGTCAAACCCATGTTCTTCTGGCCCCTGGGACAAAAGTTGGTGGCAAGAGTTGTGGGCAAACACCAAAGGATGCCAGCAGGAAAATGCCAATGGACTGCGTATCTCCATGGTCATATGGTCAAGATTTGTTCATTGAAGCATCAAGAACAGAGGTTTCAGCATCTGCAAAACCGAAATCCCCATGTGCAACTCGGGGCAGTGTTATTCTCCGCATGTGATAACCGAAGAAAGGTGTTTCCCACAGAGAACGTCTGTCTGGTGAAGCTATGGTCAGCGCCTAAAGAAGCCATACACTTTAGAAGCCCACAGTGCAAAGGCAGACGAACATGGAGTGTAGTCACACACAACACAGTTAGTTGGATGCAGGTGCTCACACTGCTGGACAACATAATTGCACAGTAGTACACCAGAGAGCTGCTTGTGACTTGGCAGCTTGTGTCACCTCGATGGGCAATCGCTTGTAAGGTGCCCTTAGCGTGCCATTTGTTTGTCCTCCCTACCCATCTGCCTACATCACCAGGACTGTGTGACTGTTAGATTGCTTCTGATTTTGCAGTGTGGCTCAGGAAACGGCTTGGCACATGGTTTCCTATCACAAGTCCAGAACATGGACTGATTGTGGTCGTTGTTCTTGCAGAAAATGACGAAAGCACTTGCTGCTATGATGGCTCAAGGGGTCCCAGACAAAGAGAAGTTGATGAAATTGCTTGCTGACACACCCACATTTGCCGTTGTGCTTGACCAGGTGAGGAAACTGTAGACATTGCTATTGTGTTAAACTTCAGTCACAATCAGAAGCGTAAGATGCTGACCTGCCTGTTCCTGGCTTAAGCATTATTGCAACTGGGCACATGCTTGGTTCATCAACAGGGATTAGTGTTTGCTGGACATGTGATGGCAGCTACAGGCATTTCATCTGAGATGTGCGACTTGGTGTTTGAATATGATGGCATTCATGGAGGTAGCAGGACCTGCAACGACCCTGTGATGGCACTTCTCTTCATGTAAGCTGAACAGTTGCCATGGAGATGCTGATGACATCGTGCCAGACCACAGCTTTCCGATTCCATAACTTTCGACGGTTTCTCAATCTGCTCGCATGCTGGTCCTGCAGGTTGTGTCAAAACCTTACCCACCACCAGAGGAACAGACGAACGATCTCAAGAGGGATGAAAGCAACCATCATAATGGTATTTCCTTGAAGCCACAAGACCCAAGGCAGCAACCCCCTACACAGCGCAATGTTGTGCCCGCTCAAGGCCAGCTGCTCCCTCAAGATCCACGAAGCCAGAAACCCCAAACAAACTCGACCCAAGAAGATCCAACAATTGGACCAAAATGTGTGGACGATGTGGGCCCTGGACCCCCAGAGCCTGTTCAGAGCTCCACACCTGGAGGGGTGGGAATCATGGCCATACGGCAAGGCCCTGAATCACAACCGCAATTGGGGCTGGGAAACAAATCAGCTCCCGTGGCAGATGCGCCCAGGCCTGTCGAGCCAGCTGTGGGGCTTGGAGTGGTTGCTCCAAGCTCAATGACCTTGAGCCCTCTGGGACAGAATCCTGGGGCAGGGCTCCCGCCCACAGATCCTCGGCATGTCGTCATTTCACCGGCACATCTGCAGCTACCCAATCCAGTGGCTCAAACTCCCCAACAGCAGGGCACTGCCCAGCCCCTTCAACAGGTTGGTCAGTTCCAGCCAAGACCCGGCTTGGGCCAGATCCAGGCTTCGATGCCAATGGCTGTCCCCATGATGGCTCCTCCAATGTTTCAGTTCCCTCCCAATCAGCAGATGGACGGCAAGGGGGGGTTCCAGTTCCCGCCTCCGACCCTGATGCCTTTAGGGGGACCACCCCAAGGCCAGCAGGGGCAATGGCCGCATCTAAAGCGAGCCAGCCTCGATGCGCCACTGCCAATGCCAGCTTGGAATTTGGGGCAGCAGCAGGGCTCTTCAGAGAAGCAGCCAGATGTTCAGCAGATACTCCAGCCCATGCTGCCTGCGCTGACGAATCTGTCCACTTCAATGCCAGAAGCAAGGTTTGCAGACAGCAGACCTTTTGCCTCAGGACCCCAGGTCATGATTCCAGGTGTACAGCAGATGATGCAATCACAGGCTCCAAGTCCAGCATCAGCTCCAGAGCCACCTTCAAACCTGCCAACAATTCTAGCACGAGGGCTTGTAGGCCAACCACAGTCCTTGGGGGGACTGCTGCCGTTGCAGTCACAAGCGCTTGCTGGACCCATGGTTCCATCAGGGCCAAATTTTTTGCCACCAAACGTTGCTGGGATTCAGCAGACCATGGTTTTGCCACCAGCACGTGCCTTTGGTGGTCCTCCTACTGCAGATATTCGTTCTCAAGGTGAGACGTGTATGTTGCTGCTGTTGCCTTTGTTTGCTGTTGCATGCAATCTCACGTTTCTGTGGCTTACTGTGATGTGCTGCTGCACATGCAGTGCAGTTGCAATGCTCACCAAGTGCTTAGCATAGTGGATTTGTTAATATACAGCCAGTGCATTAGATTAGCATGGCAGGGGAGATCATCAGAAAAGGGTTCACGAGGTTGTGTTCAAATACTGCCCACAGTGTATGTTGCTTGCCAGCCAACTGGTTTTGACAAAGTGTATTGTCTGTTGACCAGGTGGAAACCAGCTGGTTGGTGTGCAGAATGCAAGAATGCTTCCGGGCTCCAATGGTTTGCCAACTCAACCTGCAGTGACAAACAATCAGCAGGTTGGCCAGCCTCGTGCTCCCTTCACAAACTTTGGGGCAGGAGCTGTTTCTAGCATGCCACAGCCTATGGGCACAATGGAGAGTCAGACAGTTCCACAGCAGGGAGTCAACACAGTGGCACAACCAGAAGCACTGCAGCAGGTGGCAGTGGACCCAGATGCCCTGTTTCCTGTGAATTTTACTAGTCAAGCAAGGCAACCAGTTTGGAATGCTCACAAGTTTACAAGTGCAGCCTGTGAAGTATGCTGTGCTCTGTGCAGCTGTTGTGAAGTTCTCCAATTGATTGCCCAGAGTTGTGCTTGTGCTGTTGGTTTGTCCTGCAATTTGGGTAGTGACTCGACACTATATCAGGGGAGGGCTTGTCTGCTTTACAGTCTTCATGTGGATTGCTAGGTGGTTGCTAAAGTTCTGCTGGACGTTTTTTTGTAGTCACACCTATTGACAAACTCGCTACTTGTAGGTGCCCTTCCAACAATCTCTTCATCCTCTTCAGCAGCAAGCACAGGATCCCAGAGTGCGACAGGCTTTTTTCGGCAATGAAGTTCGACAGGTGAGTGCTGGTTGTTGATCCCAGCTGTTCCAGGCCACGAGGCCCTGCAGAATTGAGTTGCCAGTTTGTCCGTTGATGTACGCTTGTGTCTTGTATTGTTTGTGGAACATTGGAATGAAACTCTGGACTCGTGGTTCGTCCAGGTGCTGGTTCCAGGACAGCCTCAGCACCTTCAGGTGCAGCCCAACACATCCATCCTCCCCATGTCCAACCCGACCGGCGCCATATACCAGCCAGGGCCTGGGCCCCAGCAGCTTCACATACAGGCAAGGCCTCCCATGCACGGTGGGATTGTGGGAGTGGCACAGCAGCAGCAACAAGGTAGTGCAGTGGGCCCTGTGGGAGCAGCCCCTGTGCAGGTCCTGACGCCTCAAGGGGTTGTGTCCATTGCTCCCTCCAGGCCAGGGCTCCCCGAGGGGGGTCCGTACATCGCACTGCAGACTCCAAATGGGATTGTCCTGTTTCAGAGCCAAGGGTTTACACCACAAGCGTTGCCTAGTGCAGCTCAAAAAGAAACACCAGGGACATCTGGCCCCCCAGTTGCAAACCACCCTGCAGGTGTGTATGGCACCTCTCTTGTTATCACTTGCTGTTGAGTCCTGTTCTTCCGCCTGCTGTCTGGGAAATGTTCCATAACTGCTGGCTTTCAGTGTTGCTGTTTTGCAATTTTGACAGATTTCTGATGACTTTCATGTGATGAAGGTGTCTTTGCCAAAGGCTTCTAAAGGAATGAGGCCGGATTTGTGTTCTTCAAATGAACTCCTTGCTGTGGGTACTGGCACAATCTGTCTTTCCAGCTGTTCACGTTGTGCGGTGAATCTGCAGTGGAACTGGTTTGGAATGCCACAGCATTGTAGACTGTGCATTGATGTGCTTGGGTGTGCCATCCGCCCGGATAAACAGGAAGCAAAGGTGGAAGCACCATGGCAAGCTCTCAAAAGCATTGGCCAGCAGTGGCAGCACCATCACTCCCAACACAGGCAAACATCTCAGCCAAGCCCCAGCAACCACGGAGGCCAGTTGTTCCTCCCAAGGGGCCACCAGTTGGAAGAAACTACATACAGACAGTAATGCCTGGAGGTGAGGACACACTCAAATGCCATAGGACGGTGGGTGAAATTCAGGTCTGTGGGAAAGAACCTCTGGAGCTGTTGCTCAAGCTCTTTGTGCTAATGAATGCCTGTGTTTTGGAACTTTGTGCAGCTGGTGGAACTGGATTCAGAGTTGTGCCAGAAGGAAGAAGTAAGGCTGACAATTGGGGCCAGAGGCAGCCAGTGCAGAAGGCAGCAAACCCAATGGGGGAATCGACATCTTGCAAGGTGGGTGTATTGCGATTGCATGTGCTGGTCACCGAGCAAGTTGTGGTTAGTCTATGGTTTAACTCAACTGTCACTCTGCTCATTGAGTTTCTCTTAGTGCTACCCCATTGATTGCACTATTCTGTCTTATAGAAACAAAATGTTGGGACACAAGCATGCCCAGTGTGACAGTTGGCACAGTCACCAAATGTGCTGTCCAATGTCATATAGTGTTATCTGATGATCGCGTGCCACCGCCATCTGCATGCGAAAGGCGCTTGCTTGCATGGGGCAGTCAGAAAATTGATGTGCCACAGCTATGAATGTTTCACAGGCATATGCAGAAATCTACAGCAACTGAAACTTGCACTTCATCTGGGTAAGGCAGCTCTGTAGGGGATGATGCAAGCTGCTCATTCCAACTGTCCAATAGATATTCAACTGGCATGTTGAAAACAGCTCCTCATACACCATATTAGGTTGGGTTTGCTACTGGTTATCTTGCATATGCGGTTACAGTTTTGCCTTCTAAGTATACGGCTGAGGAACCTCGTGGCAAGTGGGATATTATTGCCAATTGCTTGACCAGCGGCAAACTCCAGGAATACGATGCAGTTGCCATGGCATAAGAAAGCTGCAGGAATATTGGAAAACATCTATGTTCCATTTTGAACTCAGACTCCAGAAGGAAGTCAGTGACTGTGCCAGTCAAAATGCTGCTGTCCTTGGAATGTGGAGGTGCAAACTGCGTCGCACAAAATGGCAAGAAAATGCTTCCAAGACGCCATCCATACACTACCATCCGCACCCATATAAATCCTATTTAATCAGGAGTGGGCATGGAATGTCATTGTCTTCACTGGCACAGTATATACCTGAGTCTGTGTCCAACACAGTTTATTTCTTCGCATTTCTGTGCACCTGCTTGTTATACTTATTGACTGCATTGGGTTGCTCTGGCACATGCCATGTACAAGTCCTGTGGGTTTCTTCCTTGGCTTGTGCTCTCAGATTGTCTTGTGGTCTCCATTTTCTATTGTGACGCTGCTGGACAGCTCTTCATCCATAAACTAGCAAAAAAGCCTAGCCACAAGCGCCTCACTTGTGTTCCATAGATATGGATGTTGTGAATTCCATGTGCCTTATGAAATGCTGTGGCAGAGTTTCATTGTATGCAGGCCAGTACTAGTGCTATGCATTGGATGCAATTCAAATTGCTTGCTTTGTGTTCATTTTGCGCTGAGACACCATGTGCATTCTTGATCGCAACAGGCCATCAGTTCCACAGAATCGTGGAAGCACAGAGAAGGAAAGAACGTGCCACCTCAGTCATCGTTGCGAAACCATGGGGTTGACATGCATAGATCGTTGAGCATCGAAGATGGGGAAGATCTCAGCGGACATCTGGACTGCAATGGGCCATACGAGGCACTGCAGTCTGGTGGTTCGGGCCGGGTGACATCTATTGATCTTGGACCTCGGGCTGCTAACCCCAGCATGTGAGTCAAAGGTTGCAGCAGTCACCAGCCCAGCATATTGCTGGCTACAGGCTGATTGTGATACCAACGAGGCTCCCAAGTTGGTGGCCCACTGGAAGGATGGGGTAGTTCCTCTTTGACAAGTTACTTTGGTGGCCACCTCTTCACCATCTGTGCAACAGCTGCTTTGTCTTGTCAGGCACCTGGCTCTTGGGTGTGTGCATCTCAACACTGCCTCCATGTTGTTCTTCGTTGCAATCATATCAAAAAGGTCAATTGCATTGCCACCGGCCCACGCAACTGCTATCACAATGCCCATGCATCAATGCCCACTGCCAGGCCAATGTCTTTAAGCAAAGCCAGGCGCAGCAAAAGATGTGCTCATATTTGTCTTGCAATTGTCACTGCAGGCGCTACAAGGCTGAGCTCATGCAGCGCCTCCCAAATGGTGCAACTGTCAAGTCAGAGGGTTGGGGCCCATCCAAAAGTGCTGCTAAACAGGCTGCCATTGCAGAGTCACTGAAGCGCCGCCCAGCCGCTGGCGGAAATCTACAGCCGCCTCGTGGAAACACTGCAGTTGATGATAGAATGAGGGACAGAGATAGAGACAAACGGGGCTCCCGCAGGGACCCATCCCCGCCGCAACCTGTGAAACGGACAAGGCATGGGCACACAAGACCCATAGATCGTGATTCTGCTTCTACCTGGGGTTCAAGGGGGAACAACTATGGGCAGGCATCACTGACTGGCTATGTTGCACAGCTGGCCGATGGTCTTGATGATGCTGATGAAGAGATGCCACTCGCAGATGATGACGATGAAGAGGAAGAGGGCGAAATCAAATGAGTGATTATAGGGGGAAGTTTGTGTTCGAACATAGGGCTAGTTGATCCAAAAGCTGTTGCCACCACACACATGGCTGGCAAAGCCACCAGCAGGCACCCGAGCATAGATGGCTTCCTTATGGGATGGAAGGCAGCTTTGTAAATCTATGTAAATTGTTTCCATCTTGTTGCCAGACATCCCTTCCATGGGTTTGTCGCTTGGTCAAGCCATATCAAAAACTAGTTATGCACTCTGCAGGACGTGTGCAGTCCACGATTGTTGGGCCAAAAGCGATGAATAACTCCTGGTTGGCTCAAATGTCCTGCAGCCATTCAAGCAACCCAAAGTACCGGGCAGTGGGGGTGAAAGTGACGCCATCACCATCTGCAAAGGGGTGTATTCTGTTGGAGAGAACACGGTTGCCTGGATCGCAACCATGGGCACGAATTCTCGACAGCACAGCGATCTTCAGCAAGGTCGTTGCTGTACAATGATGACAGTGACACATGCGTTGAAAACCAGGAACATTTCACTGACCATGGTGTCCTCTCCACCGCTTTGCCAGATTGTTGGACACAGGAATTATGTCCGCTGGGTGTGGTGAGGCACACTTCCATGTAAGGCATCAGCTGTTAACTGGGAGCTCTTGCCATTGAGAATGCGCTTTCCAGACTATAGCTTGCTGCCAGCCGGCTCTCTTCTCCACTTTTGCAGCCTAATCATCCCTGACCTAACAAGATTCAGCGGGGTTCCTATATTGCCCCCACCCAACAGCGCACCCTTTTTAGGCTTGGCACCATTTCTGTAGTACTTTATGCAGCCTTGCTCCGCGATGAGACCCCAAACTAGTATTGTGGACACTCAAGCACACTCAAAAGAGGTATCCAGTGGACGGACGCCGCGGCGGCCGTTTCCACCAACTTGGCATATCGCGGGCAGGCGGACGCCGCGTCTGGTACGTCCGCCGCGGGGCCTGGGCCCGGGGCGTCCTCGAGAGGCCAGGGGAGGTGTGGGTGCCGCGTCGGATCTCCATCCATGCATCAGCGAAGTGTTCACTGCCCGCCTTGGCTCCTTGCGACCGCCGATTGACGCCACTCGCGGATGCCAATCAGGGCACCCGCGGGTAGCACTATTCGGCGCCAACGGGGGGCAGCAATGGCGAGAGTGGGAGGCCACGTTCGGCCTCCCGCTCCCGCCTTTTTGTTGTCACTTCTGCGCCCAATTGTTAATCGCCGCGCAGCCGCTGTTGACAGTTGGCATTCGCCCCTCGTAGGCGCCGATTGATGGCACTCGCGGGTGGCATCAATCGGTAGCCACCGGGGCCAAAAGTGGCGGGAGCGGAGGCGGCCATCACCAATCCCGCCGCTTTGCACCCTTGATGCGTGCTTTTCAGTGCCCACCTGCACAACCACCCGCACACGCTGCGCATGCTGCACCCGCTACTCTGATCCATGCAACTCTCACACAGGGAATTCCTGGCGGCGGGGGACCTGCCGCGTGGGTGAGGTGGAGCGGGGCGCGTGCGATGTGTGATGCACTGCTTGCACCGACGCCAGTGCTGGGACGCAAGGAGAAGGTTTATGACGGGCTGGCGGATGACGCGGGGGTGCTCTGGGGTGCCCTTGGCGTTACGGATATTGGCAGAAATGCTCAACGGGGGGGGGGGGGGGCGTTATCCCCGTGAACTACGATATGATGCGACCCTGGCCAGTTGGACGCAATCGGCATCCACAATGCGGGCAGTGCCGCGCATGTCCAGGCGATAGGCACCGTGGAACATCAACGCAAGGCCCAAGCACGGTGCTCCACTGCTGTGGCACGATGGCACATGGTGCACCCGTGTGATGCATGAATTCGACATCCGAACAGGTCGTGACACCGCTCATGGGTCTACTTTTGCGGCCTTCTTGTGATGGGGAGTGTTATTTTATGACTAAAACAAAAATTAAATGCAACAAAACAAATAGATTTGTTAGCGCCTCGGCCCCCAATTGCACACCCTTTTTGGCCATGTCACCGGGGACCGCGCTGAAGGGAACCCGCCCCCGCATTGTCGCTGCCCTGCAGCCGAAGGCGGTAGTCCAAAACAGAAGGGAAGAACTCCCCCCCTAATGTCCCCCATACACTGCTTCCGCTTCCTGCTTCCTCAGGACAACCCGCACCCCCGTGCCCCATCCTTCCCCCCCCGGCGGGTGCCCACCCACCCCTTGCAGTCATGGCGGAAGCTCATGAGCACGAGACGTTCGAGACGGCCGATGCCGGGGCCTCCAAGACCTATCCCATGCAGGCCGGCTCCATCCGCAAGAACGGCTTCATTGTCATCAAACAAAGGCCCTGCAAGGTGGGGCTGGGGCGATGTTTCGGGGCCCGTGGACACGCGTTTCGATGTCGGTGTTAGTTGGGGCGGCTAAGGGAAGCTACTGACTCACCAGCAGGTCCGAGAAGGACTGCAGATCGATAGCGCCGTGGTGGCCGTTGCGTAGTCGACTCGTGGCGGCGCCAAACTGTGTGGGTCAGCGAGCTGGGGCCCAAATGGGAAGGTCTGAGGAATGGCACCTTTGGCATAAGATTTTTGGGCACCTCCTTCGTTGGCTGATTGCGGAACGGGCATTGCTGGACGGAAATCATGGCGCGTTCAGACCCGCTGCGCAGCAACTGTTCCGTTGCGCTCTGGCGGCTGTCCTGGAAATGGGATTCGACATTGCGAGTATCTGGCTGTTGATCTCAGCTTCGATCGCAGAGGTAGAGATGGCTGCTGGCCTGCTGTGGCCAACGGTGGTTCAGCCGCGTGCGCACGAGCTGAACCTGTGACTAAACCCGCAGTGGCGGTTCCGGAATGCTCCCTCTGTGGTCGCCGCCTTGCGTCATCGGAATTGCCACAGGAGTAGGTTCGGCTGCTGCTGAAACTGCTAGCGCGCGTGGCGGACAAACGCGTGGTTCCTGTGTGGCAGGTTGTTGACGTTTCAACATCCAAGACCGGGAAGCACGGCCACGCCAAGTGCCACTTCGTCGCAATTGACATCTTCACGGGCAAGAAGTATGAGGATCTCACGCCTTCGTCGCACAATTGTGAGGTGAGTGAGATCTGCTGCTGCTGAGGCCAGGAGTGGCACAACTCCTGCATATGGTAGGTTGTTGGCTTTGCATTTGTATGCTATTACAGTTGTGCCCAAATGAATGTGCTGTCTGTGCCTCCTGCTGTAGCCAAGTCTTTGCAAGGTGGGGAGTGTCCAGATCATGATCGGGCAACCTGGTTGTGTGTTCACTGGTTTGCAACAGCTTAACAAATGTCACGCCATGTGTTTCAGGTGCCCAACGTTGTTCGACAGGAGTTCACACTCATCGCTGTCGACGAAGAGGGATACGTGAGTGGCATAGGAGTCCTAAGATGTGTATGGAATGTTGACTTGCATCCCAGACTCAGTGGGGTTCGTTGCCAAAATGCACTACCGATGGTCCTCCATGCACTCAATTGATATGTTAATGCAGTGGGCTTTGCAACTCCCTTTAGTCTGCAGTCAGAAATTGATTTGTAGTTGATTTTCCCTCTTAATTGAGCTCAATTGTGAGCTGCTGCCAGGAAGGGCATTTGCAAGCACAGATGTGGCTTCTTGCCAGAGGGTGGGTAAACTTTGTTGGCCAACTGTGGACTGCCATCTGCTTTTGACAAGCCACCATTCATTGTCAGGTGACACTCATGGACGACTCTGGCAACACGCGAGAAGATCTGATGCTTCCAACAGGCACGGAGGAGGCTGACAAACTGGCAGGCAATATCAAGGATTATTATGCCGATGGAAAGGAAATGTTGGTCACCGTCCTAAAGGTAATGTGCTGCACTTTTTCTATTGAGCTACCAGGCATACTGCTCTTGGATACCCTTCCTGACTGTACCTTTGCTAGACTGCTGTGCCAACCCAGCACCTCGGGATGCATTGGTACATTTGCTGGTGCACGATTGCCATGTGTGTGTGCAAAGTCACCACAACAAGGAAAGACATGTTGCTCACAATGTCTTTCGATAAATGTTGTAGTGTTTTGATCAATATCAAGTGCATAATACTGCTGTTGGTTACAGAGTCGAGTGCTTGCTATGCAGGCCATGGGCGAAGAGATGATCAACCAAGTTAAGGTCATCGCTGAACAGTGACTTCACAGATTCTTGCCTTCCATGGCGATTGCCTTCATATGGTGGCGAGGAGTGCTGCAGAAACATTTGTTGATGAATGTTTGGTTGCACTGCTGAAACTGGGCTGCCTAGGCAAGGGAACGCTGGAGTTCGCATGTAGAAGGGATGCCAAGGGCTCATAATTCTTGGACATTCGCAGATGCTCGGTGCAGGGGACAGGAAATCGCATGGTGCCTTCTTTATCACAGGGGTTTAGTTTTGTGTAAATTTTTGTTGAGCTTGCCTGGGTCACTCGTTGATGGCAGGATAAGAGGCTCTGAATATTTGGGTGCATTGATGAACATGCAGGTGGGATCGGATGCTCTTGGTTGCTTAAATGCAGGACATCAGGTGGCAGGCATCAACATACTGTCTGTGTCGATTGGGTAGAGTGCACTTGAACCCTATGGTTGTGTGGTGTACTGTAGCTGTGTTGGACTATCTGTGGCAAGTCGATCGACAACGGTCGCCTGCACTCCACCACGCTCGTGGGCGTTTGTGGCTGTGTTGTAGCTCGCTCCCTGCACCCAATTATCTTGAGGTCGGCAATCCGAACCAGTCGGCAGTGTGTGGACAACTCCATGACGGTGATAGAGTTGGGTAGCGGATTGAATGTGGGATCTGGCTGCACAGGAGACCCCTTGGTTGCCGGGTGCCAGTTATCGCAAGACTGGGCACTCTGTATGCTCCGAACGTTGCCTTTTCTTTTCATCGAGTGCTGTGGAACATCGACATGACGTGTTTCTCGCTGTAGATATTTCTTTTGTTGTAGCTGGGCGGATGTTGGCGACCATGCAGCGACTGCGTGGGCGCTCAGTCGCTAGGCATCACTGTTGTAATGTGCTTTGAAGACGGAACGTTGGCGTGCAGGGCAGTGCTGGCGTACACGTCGCAGGCGTGCGTTGCAAGCGTCGCCATATCAGACTTGAGCGCATGCTCCCCAGAAGCGCTCGATGCTAGCGCCGTGCCCAGCAAGCCTGCTGGCCTTGGCGGGGGCATTGCATACAAGCAAGCCGCATGGGATCCCCGCAATGTCGTCGTTGGTTCTTACCACATCTTGTAAGGCAAGGCTGGAACTGGTAAAAATGAGGTCGCTTCGGAGTACGACAACAGATTAGGACCAATGCCAGCCAATCAATCTACACCACTTTGCAGTCAAGCCAGGGGGCGTTATGGAAAACTCGGATCTGCTGGGGTTCTGAGGTGCGTTGATTTGTTCTGTAGCGCTCGAGCTGCAGCGCCCATTCACTTCATCAGTCCGCCATATACACATGCAGAGCTGACTTGAGCTGCTCCACAAGGACAAACAACCAGCTCACGCTTCCAATCGAATACTGTTGAGGCGTTGCGAACACAAAAGATAGATGGGCTTGGTATCGTTCTGCTCGAGACGCCAAAACATAACCACAATTTGCTGGGTGTGGCTCCTATATGAGAGATCGCACTGTGTCGATTTTCGTACGCTCAACGTCAATTTGACGGGGGAGTTGGGGAGGGCTTGGGTGGTCGGGACGGGAGGCACCGGCGCCAATCAAGATTTTTGATATCGCCACGAATCGGCATCAGGTGAGAAATGGACCAAATCAATTCATGGCTGTTTTCAAAACCTCCCTCATGTGTTCAATTTCCAAAAAGGGCCTCAAACTGCATCAAGCTGACCAACGTGGGATTTCCCCTGGATGCCTGGATTCCGTGTACATCTGTATCAAATTGATACTATCAATCATTAAGTCGCCTCGTAACGAGACGACTTAATGATAAGATCATTAGGAGACCAACTTGTTGAGAGAATGGCCCTCCTATTGTGTTGCGTTCATCATTTATCCATCGCTTTTTAGTGTCTGGCACCGTCGCGGGGTTGGAAAAGGGGGCTCTTCTCTTGACTATGGTGCCTACGGTCCACCGCTAGGAAGACGTCATGTTGAGCGCGACGACGAATGCGTTTTGTCATCATTATCATCAGGAAATGTTACACATCAAGGCGAGGACGCAGTCATCAGCTCTCCAGCTTCCCCGGGCAACGCAGTGTCCATGGTTTGTTCCATGAGAACCCGAGGTATTGCCCTAATCTAGCCACAATGAATGTATTTGTCTAGAAGACCACACACCCCTAATTCCTCTTTGCCCGATACTGGATTGTAACCTACAGGCTACAATATACGACAGGCTGTCTATGTATGTATACCTTGTTGAGGTATCGCTCCAATGCGACATTGTCAGCGAATACTTTATTGCCAAAATCGCAGCATATATTGTGCGTCCCACAGCCAAAATCTTCTATGACTTTATACAGAAATTTTTCTGTCAGCATATCATCAGATTTTCATAAAAATCTTTCACACTCCTAATTGTGAGTGCAGATGGTGATGCATGAAAATCAAATCCATTATCAGAATAACGCAATTTGACAGCGTTCTGATTCCATGCGCTTCGGATCCCCAAAGGGTCAAAGTTTACCGGGTTACCGGAACTGTCCCAAAGGGACTATGATGCATCATTTGGAGGCCTCCTCCAAACTGCGCGCCGTCCAAGAATTAGCAACACCACTTCTCATGAAGATCGGCTCACCCATCTTGGAAAGGCTGGGGCCGGCAGAGAAGCACTGCAAGAGAACCCCCTCTCCATAGCGATTTCGAGCAGCTTCAGGAAAAGCGAGCAATTTTTGCCCTTTGGACCTGAGTCGCAGGGTGTCGATACCCTGTCAAACCCTCTGTTGCTGTGAAATTGGACCTTATTTTTATGCACCATCGGCTGCACTCACAAATGTGAATGTGTAAATATTTTCATTAACAGCTGATGAAGCTTCATTTCGACATAATCGATACACTAGCAAAAAAAGAACCAAATAACATTTTTTGCAAACACATATAAATGCTGTTCGATTACAGCTCAATCTATTCAATTTAATGGCCATCACTGTAATCGAGTAAAAAGGTGGTGGGAAAGAGTACGGACGTAGTCGGCCAGTTTTCGCTTGAAACGTACAAAGATGGCTGATTTCGATAGTCCTATCACTGCTCAGTACACAAGCAAAAACATGTGCGCAATCAGCTACATTCTAGTACGGTTAACTCAAAGCGGTCTAGGCTTAGATGTCCCCTATTCTGTGAATCTGCGATTGGGATAATCAGAGCCAGCCCAATATGTATAATTGGGGTCATTTTAAGACCAGTCGATGGGCAGCACGGTCAGCTGCGGCTGCGCTGTCATTTTGCCAAGGAAAAGGGCAGGTACTAATCTGGTTAGACACTTAGATTGACGGGAGGCATTACAGTTTTGAGTGTCACATTTCCAGTACACAGAATTGAGGCTATAGATACATCAGACGGAAAGAAAGGGGCCGTAGTGTGTACAGGCCCGATGGAAAGCACCCTTGGAAAAAGGCTGGTCTGTTCGTAGGGAGCTCTTGGGTGACTTTCGCAGAGAAAGAAGGCCAAATTCTGGCCCCTTTTGAGGAGGCCATGGACCGTAGGGGGTGTCCTTCAATGGACCTGAACTTTTCAAAAAGTCCTAGGACTTTGACAGGACAAGTACTGGAAGGGTGTAAGGGTCCAATGGAGCATGATGGGACGTTGTATACGGGTGCTGACAATACTTTATTGCTTAGCGGCTGTATGGGAAACTGCCCTTTGGAAATTTTTGTATTGTACTGCGTCGTACACGTTCGTCACATCCCCGCATCCTGCGCCCCCAAGGCCTCCGCGCCCCGCGACCTGCTACTGGTCCGAACGCAGCGACGCTGCCGTTTCGCCGCGGAAAGCGCTGAAAGTTGGGCTGATGGCGCGGGTCAAGAGGAGCAGGCTGGCGGACTGGGTCTCGGTGCGTCGCGACGCAGACGGGGAGTTTGGCGAGGGGGCGATGGCAGGGCCCAGCCACATCCCCACTCGATGGATGGCGTCCATCTCGCGGCAAGGCGAAGTGCATCCAGACCTGGCCGCCCGAGGAACGCGCGAGCTGGGCGCGCCCTTCATCCCGAGTGAGGCAGCCTTTCTCGTCAAGCAGGGCTGCGAGGCGGGGGCCGGTGGCGCTTTGGCATGGGGCGCCATCCGCGGCTCCGGCCTCCCCAACCGATGGATCTTCGGGGCCGTGGACTCGATCGTGGCTTGGCGAGCGGCGGGCGAGGGAGAGGGAACGCTCGCGTTCACTCTACGGTGGGTGGCGGCCATGGAAAACGAACGTCAGGCCTTCCGCGTTCGTTCCGCGGTGGTCGCCAGGAATCGCGGGGATGGGAGAGTGGGACGAAGCTGAAGTGTTTGCATGGCGGGCAGCCAGGGATGATGACGGCCACCTTTTTGAGTATGACTCAGACTGGTACCGTGCGAAAAGGGCCAGGCTGGTCCCTAGGAATGCATAGGGACCATAGGGTAAGTTGACGGCCAAGGAAAATACAAACTAGAAAGGCAATACTAGTTATGGTACAATGGTGGGAAATTGTGTGTGAAGTCAGTGGGAAGTTCTAAGGAGGTGGACTGTTTGTGCAAGGGGTATTGGGGCCTTTTTCTCAAAGTGTCTGTTGGACTATCCAAGGGTTGTTGAAGTTGTAGTGCTGTTGGAGCTGGCGGGGGTATTTAGGAGGGGCTGTTTGGGTTGTGAGTGCCCCCCCCTCTCCTCTCTCTCTCCGCCCCACACCAATCCGTTCTTGTTTCCTGCGGTCAGGACGGTTGGTGTTTGGCTGCGAATGGTCGTGCTGTGAGTGCATTGAGGTCGAACGTGGTTGAAGGGGAGCAGCCTTGTAACAAGCACTTTCGTTTCCGTGTGCCTTGCCTCTTGACCCTTCGGGTCAGTTGCCTCTTGGGTTGTGCATCGCTGCACATACCCACAGCTCGACGTCGAGCTTGTCTCCCGTCTCTTTGATTGGCTGACCCGCGTGCGCTCGTGTTGGGCGCTGACTTTGTCGACTGAACGACGTGTCTTCATCGTCCGTTGCTTGGAGAGTGAGTGGAGCGCAGCGCTGGACCGCAGGGAACGAGCATCGACGACATCGGTTTGCGACATCTGGAGAATGGTCAGTACGCTCGTCATACTGAGCTACTGAGCGAGGTGTGGAGCGTTGTTTCGCAGTTTGAACGTGTTTTTCCGTGCCTCTCGTCGAACTGATCAGCAGTTGCATGTTTCTCGTTGTATGAATGGTTAAGGTGAACTTGAACACGAAGTTCAGCTCTGGGGTTGCGCCTCGCTTCGGCAGCGCTCGACAATACCCCTGGAGTCCTGTTGGGTCTGAACTTTCATATTGTGGTGATTTTCATTGTCCTGTGAGCTCCTAGGAGCTGAGTTGTTGAAGGTGCAAGAGCAGAGCGCTCAGAAATCGTGAGCGATTGGCAGGGCGGTGACATTTGCTGTACTTTTGGTGACCCTCGCCAAGCGTATGTGACTGATCGTTGAGCCATATTGCTGTTTCTGAGTGTAGACATCTTCCTGTCAGTAATTGGTCAGCTGGTTGTAACATCATGGCACTCGAACAATGCATTTCGTCAATGATCTGCGTGCTAAAAACACGAGAATGGCCCAAACCCGTGCACTTTGTACACGTTTGAACTAGCAACGTTCAAAGTTTAAAATCTGAACACATGTTATTTGGCCCTTTTTCGCTAGTGATATCAATGAAGAATTTTCTGTTAGTAACAGAGTGTAATGGTGCAAAGTGACAGCTACGGCTTTACCCTACAGGAAACATTGTTGTGGGAAGGGGGAAGTGCCGCTAGCTTGCGCAAGCCAGCCTGTGGGGTTATGCCATTTGACTTCGCGATTTATCTCCTATCTTTCACAAGCTTAGGAGCTGATGGTTGATAAGTTTATAATTTTATAACAATTTTATATTAAGCTGACCACTTTATCTCAAGCCGAGATCTGAATTGCCCTTCGTGGATGATCATTCCGTCCGGAGGGGAGAAACCAGTTTTTCAGACATCCAGAAACAAATCGACAGTTTGCAAACTCCACAATGGTTTGGTGCAACCGACGCATTTGCATGGAATGCGGTTGGATGCGCGACATGCTGCTCATCCACGCCACAAACTCCAGGGCCACATTGGTAAGAGGGATTGACCCAAAGCAGGCACCAAATTCGTGGCAAACGGATTGAAGAACCCAAGAACCGTCGGACGTCGAACCGCCCCGCACGCTTTCATGGAAGCCACACATCAGACCCCTAGCATCAAAAGCATCTGCTCCTGCCAATCGCAAAGTCCCCACCATGCCAGCTCGCACCCAATTAACCCCATCCCTGCGAAGATGGCCGCCACCCAACACGCACACGCGGTCCCAACAGAGCCACAAGAAACAGCGCACCCGAAACCATTCCCGAGCTTCGACATAAACCCGGCACATGAGAGATTCCTGAAAAACGATCACCATTGACGGGCTGCTTTGCCGTGAAGAATGTACAGAATTGTAGCAACAATGTTTCCGTTTCGGCTCGTGTGCAGTCATGGGTTGAGAGTGCCGCGAAGTCAAGTCCCGAGCAGCAGCGGTCATCCCCGCTAGTTCTGAGCAGGAACGCCCCACATTTCTTTGATCAGGTCTGCCACATCCTCCTCACTCTGCTCCACGATCCTACTCTCTGCCTCCGCCATTCTATCCTCGTTGTACTGCCTCATCGCTCTAAATTCATCATCGAACCATGGGTCTGCCCAGAGCTCATCAAGCGTGATGCGCTGGGCTGGATTCGGTTGCAAAAGCCTCCGAAGGAGCTGGGCGCACTGGGGGGAGACGACACCGGCAGGAACAATGTCTTCGTCCTGGGTTCGAGGGAATTGCGCGAAAATCATCTTGAAAAGGCAGACACCCAGCGAGTACATGTCTGCAGCCTTGCCGTCGTACCAGGTGTCTGCTGGAGAGTTGAGCACCTCTGGGGCGATGTACCTCCTGGTGCCTGTCTTTGTGACCGTGGGACCACCGCTTCCACTCTGCTTGGCCCAACCAAAGTCGCACAGTGACACCGTGACCATCCCCTCTTCCGATTTCTTCCGCCACGCGATGAAATTAGAGAGTTTGAGGTCCCTGCGGCGGGCACATTGAACTTCAGGAAAGTGTGTCACGTGCAATGCAAGCTTCTGGGCACCTGAGGACTGCCATGCGCCTGATTTTTGCAGAGCCCGTGCTGTTGACTGACCACGAAGGTGGTGATTGTCGTAATGTATTGGCGCCCAATGGCAAAGTCGCATGGATTGCTGTGGACGGCAACGCTAGTGGGTCGGAGGCTTTCCTCATGGGCTGGTCAGAAAACCAATAGGTAACCACAGCGGCAGGTGGGCTTTGTCACACATGATGTCGCCGGGCGCGGACTGCCACATGTCATAATTGCATTTACCTGTGCATTATGTTGTAGTGGACGTGCAAGCAATCGATGATGAGCACCTTTTGTTGGAAGATATAGCGAGCATGGTCCTCATTGAGGGGTCTGCAATAAAATGAAGCCCATGAATGTCAGCGAATGTCGGCTGTTGAACATTTATTGGCAAAGCCGAACGCCGGTACCCCTGTCCGCCAAACAGCTGCCTCCCTACCTCTCGCGCAGAAATCATCGCGATCAGACGGGACTGCACGTGCAATAGCGCGACAGTAGCCACACACGTCCAGCACGAAAACCACTGGCGACCCCCAACAACTTCGCGCCAGAGCACACCCAACGCATTTTGTTTAGTCCACCGGTGTTCCGGCGGCTATCGCCACAACGACGAACTGGCTGTAGCAACAGGCGACAATGCCTGAGGGAGGACGCAGGCGGCGGCACCGCAGATGCAGAGAGGCCAGACGATGCAAAGTTCACGAACGAGTCTCTGCATGCACGGGTTGTAGAATGGCCGCTCCTGCGGTACTGTTGGAACGTTGCAAAAGTGCTGACACCGGGCGCACAACAATCACCAACAGCAATGGACAGCAGCGCAACCTGCTCAGAGGACGGAAGATTGTCTTCAAGCGGTGTGTGAGCAGCAACTTGCGCATGTCCACAATCCGCCAGGTGCGTTCGCCGCTGCCGCTACAAATCTACAAGCGTCTTCGAATTGGCAATCTCTCAGCAATCAAACCTGAACCTATTGTGAGATCGCAGGCACTGTGACAAGGGAAGCACGGCGGTTTTTGTCTGCGTTGGTACAACCTGCAGGCGGAACAAGACTTTGGGGCCGTTTTGCACGGAGACTAGTCCGGTGTTGTCTGGCCCGCATGCCAAATCACCTGGAGCCCGAGCGGCTGCAAACATTCGAAACATGTTTTGGGGTGTGGCTGTCTAGCGCTGTCGCAGTGCAAGGACCGTTGTCGCTCACGTCGTGGAGTTGTCCTCCCCAGCGGTTGAACAAGGGAACAAAGATGCGTCTTGCAGCGCGGCGCTAAGCTGTAAAAATCCGATGAAACTTGTGAGTGATCGCAAATATGTTTCGGGAGAAGCACCTTCGAACCAGTTGTACAACGCGGACGCTACCCATTGCACAGCACCGTTGGTATCACAGTTGGCTTGGTCTTCATCAGTCCCCCCCCCCGGCCGGCGAGACGCGTCCCAAGCTGCAGTAGCGGGGCCCAGTTGAGTAACTGAACCGGTGCAGCCCGCAGTGGTCGCGGCCTATGGGGTGATGCTCCGTGTTCTCGTGATGCGCACTTACCCTCGCTGCTGCTTGTGGTGAGCTCGCCGCAACGAGTTGGATACTCAACGGGGCTCGGAAAGGAATATGGTGAGCGTCTGCGGTGTGGGCGGTGCCAAAGAATCAAGACAGCAAAACAGTTCCGAGCTTCAATCTCTCACCCCTGAGTCTCGATCAGATCGTCAAGGCTGCAGCCGTCGACGTACGCCATCACGATCGCCAAGTAGGGGCCCTGCTCACCGTCGTCCACGCGCTGCACCCTTCTGTTTCCCACAAACACACGAGCTTGCTTATTTACAGCGTATGCGGGCACATGGCTTCAAAAGCACGAACAGCGGCGCAGGTGAGCGTGCGGTTGCGCTACGAGCGGGATGATCTGTGCGCACATGAACTGGGGGATGTGTGCATGGAACAGTTTGCGCAGAGAGAGGGCCTCTGACAGCACATATTTGGCGTTGGGCGTCGAGCTTCGACGGATGCCCTTCACGACCACCCAGGTCGGCTCGCCGTCTGGCGGCGCCGGCAGGCACTTTGCCTTGTACACAAAACGCCCAGCGACTTCCGTCCGGAGCCACTTTTCGAAGCAGCACCAGTGAGGGGTAGCTGGGGCCGGTGGTTCCTGCGGTGGTTCAGCCATTCGGCAGAGCACAACGCCTGGGAGGGGTGCTGTGGTGGGAACGCCGCCGGCGCTGCTGTTGCAATAAGCCCGCTGCGTGTGCTTAAGTGCACAACCTCGCGGAAGCTTAGTATCCATCTTCCGGGTTCCGGACGCGCAAGGTTTTCCCGGACAAGAGAAGTTCAGGGTTTCTTCTTTCACACCGGGTTCTTCATTCGCACACTTTCGTCAGCCATCTTCGTTATTCAATTGTACTTCTATGCACCCCTCCAGCACCACAAGTGATAACGTAAGGAACCATGTGGATACTTCGAGGGCCAAATCATGACCGCACATTGGCCATCCGCGACGCCTTTCCCGGATGGCCGATCGCAAGATGTGGTGTCGATGCACGGCAGGAAGCTGGCTGACATAGATGACATGTGCCCGGGTGTTCTTCCAGCAGCGCTTTCAGGTGCAACCCGACGTCGCACTGCTGTGTCCATGGACTCATTGCCAGGGGCTGTGCAGCAGCACGGCACAGTTTGTCAGCAATCCTTCGAAGGTAAAACATGGCAGTCAGTATTTCTTTGAACCTACATGGCAGGTCCCACGTTCACAGTAGCTATGCATAGTAGCTTCCTGCTACATATGTCGCAAAGAGCTGCGTCGCCACCCCTTGATCACACCCAATGTTCCTGCATGCGTGTGCAGCAGATTACCTGCCCATATAAGCTCTTAATTAAGAGCACTTTTACAAAGGAACATTGAGGAGCTTCCCAGCTCTGTGTTGTCTCATGACGGCAAAATAAGTTTGGGCATGCTTCGGATCATGTGATGGTGTCCTTCGGTCAGTTTGCACAATCACCAATTTGCAAATTATTTCCCGCATTGTATCCAACAACTTAACCATTACATTAACGCGCAGCAAATTGAATCCCTCTGATATTGAACTTTGAAGCGAATCTTGGAATAGAGCTAATCCGTGATCGCTGATCTGCTTCGCTGCAGAAAACCACAGTCTTGCTGACTTTGGAACGATATGGGTGGGCAACTTGCGAAACTGCGGTCAGTCAAAACGTGGTGTGGCTTCGTCCCAGGCACACAGGGCGAAATTATGCAATCAGTGCAATCAGTAGTTATTGCACTTGCCGAAACTGAGCGCTCCAAATGTATGCGATACTTCGTTTATCCCTCGCAAGGGATCAAATACGCTTTCCTTGGTGCCCAACGTCGAGGACGTACTCGCATTTGCAGCCATTCTGAAGATGGTTTCAATGTACATCGGAAATAACGGAGTCGTGGAGAACGACATGATTGAATCCTTGCATGTTGGCAGACGAAACAGAAGTCTTGGAGCGCAAAGGGACCTTCACGCAGCGGCAAGTAACATAAACGCAAAAGCTTAATGTTCTATGAGGGAATGAATTTCTGATCCATACCGAGTGGTAAATTTCATCTAGCAGAGACGTTCCGCTGTCGCGCAAACAGGAGATCAGACGTGTCTGAATATTTACATTTCCAAACAGCCTGGCATTGTGTGGCAGCAAACAGCAGCAAAATCGCCGAGTGTTTCATTACAATGACCACCGCCACTTTCGTGGGGAATGGCATATATGTTTGTGAGGTTGGAAATATTCCAGAAAGCCTTAAACATAAATACGTTTTGCCGTGCAGAGTTCGTTCGAAATTCGTGTGTCTTGAAGTATAAATTGTATGTTATGTGTGTCTCCAAGGATCCACGAAGCCCACCAAGGCACAGGTCCCGGCTGTGATCCCAAGAAACATGACAACGTCAAAAGCCAGAGATGTACATGATGTTTTTGTACACACGCGCCTATTCTCTTCTCCTCATCGTGTTACGTACTATACCTTGCCCTTATACATTTTGAGAATTCAGTACTGCTTTTATAGTGACTGTTTATTTGGAGCTTTTCCAGCAAAAAATTCCTGCATCTGCTACTTACACATAAGTATTGGATTTCTAGTCACACGTATTTCCGCCGGGCCGGGCTCCTTGTCCCACCCAGGTCCACACACACACTGGACCAATATATTACAACGACATTGTTTGGGACAGTCCCAAAACAACCCGAGGTACCCACAACTTGTGTGCCCAATCGCTTCGCTAGTAGTTAAGCCAGTCCCATACTAGACTCAACCCTTGAGTCAGACCCACCACACCCCATTCCATCATGCTTAACTCCCACACTTGCCTTAAATCAGCCGAACATCACCCTAATAGGGGGGGCCGGGCGGGAAGCGAAACAAGATAAGGTGGGGACCGAGGGGTGAGCCTAAGTAGCCTCCCCGCTCGCTTCCGCCAAAGCCCGCCGCTCCCAAGGGCGCCAAAAACCACTGGCTCTCCTTGAACGCGCCGAACTGGCCACTGACCCAAGGTACAGGGGGACAGAAACCCCAAGGGGCCGTCAAAACCGGTGTACTTGAGCAGCGCTGGTCCGACTGGGCCAGCGCGCCCGCCCCTCATCGCCCTGGGCGGAAACCCCTTAACAAGATAGTTAATCCCATGTATACACAATGTGACTTTCCACTTCCATTAAAAATAAATAAGATCACTAAGCGTAATCATGAACAAGAATGCAAAACCCTGAGCCGTACGCACATACCGCTAATACTCAGGGGCATCAGTGATTCTAGACATTCGCTCTGATCAGAGATGGAGGGGTCGGGAACTCGGGGTGACTCAGTTGGGTCTGGGAAGTTCTTGATGTGAACACGTGAGAGCCCTTTCAAATCTGCGCGCCCTTTCAATGTAGCAATCGTCATGGATGTGGTCAGACAGTCGTCCAACGCAGCCTCGACCTTAGTAGTTCTCAGACCTCCGAGCAATAGCAGGGCCGGCACGTCATGAGCAGCTCTCCAGAGTGTTTGTTCTACCATAAATAGTCTTCAAGTAGGGGTGTGTGTGTTTTAAGGGGCCTTTGTCGTTGTGGTCATTCCAGCATTGAGTTCCATAGGGTGGTTCGAATACACAATTCTTCCCAATCATTGGATGCTGCCGTCATTTCCAGGCGTCCAATGAAAAATCTCTTTGGTGCCCCAATATGCTGCACACACGGGAGAAAGCAAGGGGTTCAAAGTATGCACAAAGACCCGTAAACCAGTAAAGCAAGCTTGTAGTTCGGGTTTAAGGCCTGCAGACTGCCCGGAACAACGACATACCATGGACGTTCTTGGACAGCGACTCCAAAACACGACGACAACAAAATCAGAAAATTGCACGCTCCACCACAAATCTGAAATTGGTTGGCGGTTGCTCCTGTTGCGGCCGCAGTGAAGGTGAGGCTAGCCCAGCGTCCCACGATGGCGACCTTGACTCGTGGCCTCGCGCAAGCCGGAAGGATGGCGTGCGTGGGTGTCATGGCTTCGTGCACTCCCATGCTCAACGACGCCCACGCCACTCCCGTATTCTTAATGGGACGAGGGGACAGGAGGACAAGGAGAGGGAAGGTGCGTGGACAGCAGATGTCTGCTGGGGCTTGGGCCGCACTTCTTTAGGTGCTTTCTTCTGCATGTCAGGTCTGAATTGTCGCTTTCGTTGAGCACGCAGCGATGCGCAATTGGGACGTGGCCGCTCCATTGAAGTCTTCCTGCACCTGCCCTGTGGTTCGAGACAGGACACGCAGGCCTCCCTGCACGCAATTTGCGTACCCAGTCAATACAGAGGCATTGATCCGTGTCGTGGAGAAGTCAGCAAATATCCAACCGTTTGCTCCGTGGTCTGTGCTACAAAATCAATTATAAACAGGCCGGAGTAGCAGTGCGTTGCCCGCCTAGTTACTGGCGTTCGCGGCCGTTCCATTCTGAAAGAGTGGAAACTTTGGGAGCATTCTGCTGGTTTGGAGCGCTTACATCGTTGGCACAGTCTGTGCCATCACAACGGAAATGTTTTGGTTGCAGTTGTGTGCAACTTAGATATTGCAAAGTCTGTGCTGTTGGGAACTGCTCAGGTTGCAGCACAAGCTTTCTTCCAAACTGTGGCAGATGTGGGTATGCATTTTGTGAGCAATTCTCCATGAAGAATTCACCTCACTGGTTGGCAACCTGGCTTTGCAGGTTATGGACAGTGTCCCACAGGCACTGTAATGGACAATGGCCCATACCCTCCCTTGCCTATGCCAATGTTCACGTTACAGACTTAGTTTGTGTCGAGCAGCTATTGCCAACGTGTTGAAGTTGATATGTGGGCATGGCGTTGTTGCAGATATTCAGGGGCTCCTATGGCAAGTGCAGGCCCAGGAAGCGAAAGAACACTTTGGAGCTGTCACCTCCAAGTCCAGAACGTGTACCTGTCCCTGAACCGCCACCACACAAGGCCACTCCAGAAGAATTTGCTCCTTCAGGAGGTGGCATCATCATTGACGCAGAGGATCTGCTAGACAAGTCACAACGGTCTTGAACCACATGAAAGATGTGTGTGTGTGCGGAGTTCTGTCAGTCAAGGACTTGTGTTGACAAACTTCCACAGAGAGCAGCATCAATCTCAGAGGGATGGCAGTTTGAAGGGCTTACCATTTTATCCACATTTGCTTGTAAAATTTGCATGCGCCTTTTGTGGTGTGCTCTGTTCCCTACTGTTTGCCATATTCAAAGGC